GACTTCTGGAATGAATTAATATCGTAAGGCGGGGGTCCACTGTATAGGAAACAGTAAGGTGATGAGGATAAAAAAATTAGGTAACGAAAGATTGGATATCAGATTGGAAGGAGAGAGTATAGAGGAGGTGAATGTATTCAGATATTTAGGAGTGGACGTGTCAGCTGATAGGTCTATGAAAGATGAGGTGAATCATAGAATTGACGAGGGGAAAAAGGTGAGTGGTGCACTGAGGAGTCTGTAAAGACAACTTTGTCCATGGAAGCAAAGAGGGGAATGTTCGAGAATATAGTTATACCAACGCTTTTATATGGGTGTGAAGCATGGGTGGAGGCAGTGGAGATGTTGTGTCTGAAGGCAGTGTGTGGTGTGAATATAGTGCAGAGAATTCATACTTTGGAAATTAGGAGGAGGTGTGGGATTACAAAAACTGTCATCCAGAGGGCAGAGGAGGGGTTGTTAAGGTGGTTGTTAAGGATGGAACAAAATAGATGGAGTTCAAGAGCGTATAATTCTGTAGTGGAGAGAAGGCGGGGTAGAGGTCGGCCTAGGAAAGGATGGAGGGAAGGGGGTAAAGGAGGTTTTGTGTGCAAGGGGCTTGGACTTCCAGCAAGCATGCATGAGCATGTTAGATAGGAGCGAATGGAGACAAATGGTTTTTAGAACTTGGACTGCTGTGGAGTGTGAGCAGGGTAATATGAAGGGATTCAGGGAAACCAGTAGGCCTGATGCGAGTCCTGGAGATGGGAAGTACAGTGCCTGCATTCTGAAGGAGGGGTGTTAATGTTGCAGTTTTATAAATGTAGTGTAAGCACGCCTCTGGCAAGACAGTGATGGAGTGAATGATGGTGAAAGTTTTTCTTTTTTGGGCCACCCTACCTTGGTGGGAAACGGATGATGTGTTAATAAAAAAAAAAATAATTACTCAACAATCTGTGGTACTGTAGTTTCTTTTCACAGGTTGATTACAGTACTACAGATCTAGGAAATGATATCACATGTCACACTGTAAATTCACCATTGTATATTGTGCCATCATCTAACTAATGTACCACTTCTTTGCAAAGCAATAGTATCATCTGTGCACAAAAATGCAAAGCATTAATACACAGTCTAAATTTTTCATATTGTCTGAGATGCCTTGTCTAAATAAGAATGTATATGGTAAACAAGACTAGCATCCAATTCTTTGGTGAATAATTTTCTTTCCATTGTAGCTTCAATTTTTTATTTTTTTCCCTTCAAAATCTGCATGGCGGTATTTACAGCATTTCATGTTTTACCTACAGGTAGGTTGCTAATTCTATAAATCAATCATCATTTTATACACAGCCACATCATAATGCTACTAGTTTGTAGGGCTTTTAAGTAAATTATGATTCCTCTGCCTTACTACCTGTAAATCAGTTGACCTTTCTGGTAGTAACATTACAAGATAATATTTCTCCTGATTAACGAAATTGTAATGACACGATTGCATACAAACCATATCAGGGGCGGGGATAGAACCTGCGATCAGAGAATTGTAAAATTCCAAACTGACGCGTTAGCCACTGGCTAACACGTTGGTCTGGAGTTTTATGACTCTGATCGTGGATTCTATCCCTGCTTGTGGTATGGTTTAATATTTCTCCTGTTTTTGTAAAAAATAATATTGTAAATCGAAGTTGAAATTTTAATAGTTCCTTTTATCTCTTGATATTTGATGTAATCAAGATATTATAATTAATAAGCTAGGCTTTTATCAGATCTGTTGATTAAGAATATTACATCACAGTCAACTTTGTAATATAGTAACTGACACACAAAGGACTAAGATCATGCTAGTTGTAAAAATTTAGTTTAATATATATCTTTTCTTGAGAATGTTGATATCTACCAGTTTTGATCATGTTAACAATTTTGATCTTTTCTTCTCTTAAAATGAAGTGAATACATATTTATATATATACATTAAAAAGTACATTAAACAATAAAAATTACAATATAATTATAGATCACCCTTCATCCTCCCAAAAATCTCATTAGGCATTATAAAACTAGATGTGCCAAATAAATAAGTTAGGTAACAGGACATGTGCAACTAATGTAACATTTTATTGTGGCAATGTTTCACTCTCCAGGAGCTTTGTCAAGCCATAATAGCTTGACAAAGCTCCTGGAGAGCGAAACGTTGCCACAATAAAATGCCGCACTAGTTGCACATGTGTCCTTTTGCCTAACGTATTTTTCTTGAACACACTGGCCATCTCCCACCAAGGCATGCTGACCCAAAAAAGAAACATTTTCACCATCATTCACACTATAACTATCTTACCAGAGGCACACAGGTACCACAGTTTAGATGTCCCTCTGAACAGCACATATCCCAAATCCCTACTTTAGAGTGCAGGCACTGTACCTCCCACCTCCAGGACTCAAGTCCGATTAACAGATTGTGCTAAATCCCTTTACAGAATATTACTTTGTTCACACTCCAACAGCTCGTCAAGTCCCAAAAACCATTTGTCTACACTCCTTTCTAACACACATGTCTGCTGTATGTCCAAGCCCTTTCCACACAAAACCTCCTTTAACTTCCCCTCTCCCTCCTTTCCTAGGATGACCCCTGCTACCCCTTCCCTCCACTTCTAATTTATACACCCTTACATATTGTCAGTAATTTTACAGCATTATCTGAATAAATAAGTTTGTGAGGGTTAATCCAGAATATACGTACTTGTTCGGAGAGATTCTTGACAGTACAGTACTGGGTTCTTGGAAGTGCCAACTATGTACTTGAAATTCACTTTTTTTTTTTTTTTAAGTATGGCAGTTTTAAGAGTTTACTTAGCACTACTTAATTTATGGTAAATATTTTCACTTGTCTACTTGAAATTGCAACTCATGTCAGTGCCAGTGGTCTCAAATAAAAGACCATTTGGACACCATTGTCTTACTGTTCATTGTAAAATCAACCTCTACCCAGCAGAATGTTATGTGTAAAATCGTTGTTGATTGTTCCTCTCATTACATACCTTCACCCAATACATACTAAAACAAAATTGTTAACCTTAATGTGCTTCAGTACTGGAAAACTAATTCCTGGGCAACAAGAGTACAATAATACCTACTGACTCCAGTTTTGTTCTGATGATGTCAGTATACTAATTCTTGATACAGTACCGAGACATCCTTTATTTTTAAAGAATGGAACTTGTGTATCATTATCATGAAATGACTCAAGAAATCATAACGACACGATTGCAAACAAATGACACCACGAGTTCAATCCCCGCCCATGGTATGGTTTATCGTGAGATGTTTATACTATTTCCTAGTACCGTAGCTCACTTTCAATCAGTTCTTGTTGCACAACAAAATATGGTTTCAGTAAACTCTTGTATAACTTGCTTCAGATATTCCTGAAAATCATGTCCTGTTATGGTAATCCATACTGCAAGAATTTAAACTGTTGTACTAAACCCAAAGAGGATACATAGCATCTTGGGGATGGGAGGTCAGTTTTGATCCTAAGGAGTGAACAAGTTCAGTTCCTTGCACCCAGAGTCCCTTACTAACAAAAAAGGGCCTTCCTTGATGAATGTAATTGATGAGAGATCCAAACTTGGCAGCTGGTCCCTATAACAAGCTTTGTTCAACAATTGTTGCTAAAGGTTTGGCCAATTGAAAGCTTACCTGGTTTTGCATAGTGGTGTTGATCATTGAAATAAGAGCAGTTTCTAAGCATTTTTGTTTAAATTTGTCACCTTCCCTAATAACTAGTTTGGCTTCTGACCATTTTATTCATTGTTTGTGAATTCTTACGTTGGATGCAAGCATTGTTTAGTTGCAGTCCTAGTGACTTATGTGTTCATTCATACATATTAGGTCTCTAGTAGTTTCTCCAACATATACTCTACTACATCCTCCACATGGGATTTTATAGACTCCAGCACTTTCTTGATAGTTGCTATTTCTGCTCCTGTGTTTTTAAGTTCCTGTATTGTGGGCAAGATGATGACAATGATGTTGGCCTGTTTTAGTGTTTGTGATATATTCTGCATCATTACTGGTAGGGAAAGATAAGTACTTGTCATTGATACTGGTGGTTTTGTGTACTCAGTATTTTTAGGTTTCCTCTGCAGTTTTAGTAAAGAAGAAATTATCGAACAGGACCATAACACTTCATTGGACCCTGGTGGTTTAGTGCTTAGTTTTGATTATTATAATAACACTTCACTGAACTAGGCCAATATGATTCTCTCAGATAGTACATATGAATTAAAAAAGTTAAAACCTGTGAATGCCAAATCAAACAAACAAAAAAACTTTATTTTTTGTGCAGTTTACATGTAATAAAATATTGTTAAGCACAAAAGAAAGTCACTAGCATGCTGTGTATTTCTGGCATGAATCACAAGTTTTCTGCACACTCATGATTATTGCAGTAGTGCAACACTAACATTCTGCTGGGCTCCTCATAAGAAGAGTCTTTCATTATTTTCCATTCTATATATTTATACCCCTCAAGGAAAGTTCCCTGATGCTGGTGAGGGGCTCTTGATCTGGAGAATTGGATCTGTGCTCCGGTTCCCTGGAATGAGCCTGAATGCCTTCCATTCCCCCCACATGCTCTGTATAATCCTACAGGTTTAGAGCTCTCCCTTGATTATAATAATAATGTATATTTATTATCTGTAAATGTTATACAGGCATCCCCTGCTTTACATAGTACACATACTCCAGGCGCATTGTACCAAGCTTCATCAGGACATCAACACTTAATTCCACATAAGAATTATCAGTACATTTTGCAAACCACAAGAGTCACATATAGCAAATGTTAATCATACATACAAAATTACTGATAGAAATAAGTCATCACATAACAAGAAATTTACACAAACTGAAGGACACCTGCATCATAACACTTACATATTACCTCTTAAAAATTCAGCAAATGAGTTCTCTCATAATTCCACCGTAAGTGAAATAATAAAGTTGTTTTTACCCGACAGCTTCACTACAAGTACAATCCCAACCTGGTCGAGGAGGAGGATCAGGAGCTGGCTGAGCACTTGCACCGTCGTCACCTTAATGCTCGTAGGATGAGTCGTCTGGCAACATCGTCTCGTGCTCCACCTTATGATTATCAACGGCAGTTCACACCAGCAGATCCCACAACAGGTGAGTGGAAGCAAGCACTGAGAACAAGAATAATTATGGTGACTTCTGTTAAAGAATGCAGGACAGTAGACACAGTATTTTCACTTTTAATATCATTCATGTTTTTATTTTTAATACACAGCACTACTTACACTGTACTATTCACTGATCTACCCCTACCTCACCTGTGCTATTTGTGCCTGGGGATCCACAATGACAAATCACCTAAAGCCAATAATAACCCAAGAAAAAGCTGCGGTGCGAATGATCACTCCCAGATGATTCACCATCCCCCCAATGAAAAGCAGGGGCACCACTAGCACGATAATGTTGTGGGGGTTCGGTGGTTGGATTTAGGTAATAAATATACACGTTGGATGTCTTGGTAGCGTACGTATATTAAAATGTTAAGGAGTAGCGCTCAGAGCCTTGACCTCTGTCTTGGTTCAGCTGCCTTGACTCACTAAGTACTGCCTGGGCACTGCAGTTCAGATGAGTGGGCATGATGATAACGGATACTATTGATAGGGGGATTTACTATAGACCCCCCGGCTGTTTTCAAGAAAGTGCTGAAAAGGCACCTAAAGTCAGTACCTGACCAGCCAGGCTGTGGTTCGTACATGGGTTGTGTGCGGCCAACAGTAACAGCCTGGTTGATCAGGCCTTGATCTACCACGAGGCCTGGTCACAGACCAGGCCACGGGGGCGTTGACACCCGAAACCCTCTCCAGGTATACTCCAAGTATACAATCCACAGCAAGACAACACTCCCCCCTCCTCCCCCTCCCCCTCCCCCACACACTTTTCAAAGATTTAAGCCTACTCACTATACAAAACATTCACTTGTACTATTGTGGCACCTACACATACAGAACAATCAATTTTAATATATCCTGACCTGAAGCACTTGACAGTAGCAATAGGACCCATGGACATAATACAAAAACCTCTGACATTCTTTGTGTCAGGCTAAATCTTTTCAAAAACTCAATGTTCATAAAAGGACCCAAAATCTGGAACACTCGGTCAGAAATCTCCAGAACCAGTGGCTCAGCTATCATTTTTAAAACTACAAGTAGAAAACACCTTATCTCCTTAACCTGTCCTAGCCTATCTTAAATATGTAAAAACTATACGTGCATTTACTCAATATCATGAACTTAGTTAAAACATTATAACCAATATATACTTACTTTTAATATCTGTAATCCTCTCAGATGTTGATCATTCCATTGTGTCCACCTTAGTTTAATAATCAACATTGTAATTCTTCTCTACCAGACTTATTAAAGCCATATAGCATGAACTAATAGAATATTAAATTTTCTTGTAGTCATTGTAACTCACCTAATGACCATATGTACAATTACTGCACTGTTATTCCCTAATTACTCTTAAGTTTGCCTGAAATGCTCTGCATATAAAGGGGCTTTTGGCATGTACACCCAGTTGTTATTCTCCTTTGTACAAACATTTCTTCTTGTTTCAACAAACTGCCCATATCCCACTGAAGCAGGGTGCCCCCCCCCCCCCAAAAAAAAAAAAAAAAAAAAAAAAAAATTTTTTTTTTTTTAACTTTAGTAATGTATACAGAAGAAAGGGTTACTAGCCCCTTGCTTCCGGCATGTTAATTGCCTCTTACAACATGCAAGGCTTACAGAGGAAGAATTCTGTTCCACTTCTCCATGGAGATAAGAGGAAATAGAGAACAAGAACTATTAAGTAAAATAGAAGTAAACCCAGATGAGTATATAAATTGTGTGTGTGTGTGTATGCATATGTAATGTCACCAAAGTGTAAGTAGAAGTAGCAAGATATATCTGTCATCTGAAATTGTTTTTTAAATATACTTGTTCAGTTTCAGCAATCATTGCCTCAACTTAAATAGTGTAATTTTACTTTTTGCATACTACAGTACTTAATGTGTGTGGTAGATATTGCAATAGTGATGGTAAGGAAATAAAAAAAAATATGTTTTGCACTTTCTCCATGGGGAAGTGGAACAGAATTCTTCCTCTATAAGCCATGCATGTTGTAAGAGTGAACATCGAAATGGTATAAAATACCGACAAGTTGTTAGGTAAGACACATATGCAACAGTTAGGTATCTTTATTTTGAAACGTTTCGCCTACACAGTAGGCTTCTTCAGTCGAGTACAGAAAGTAGGCAGGAGCAGTAGAGATTTGAAGATGATGTAATCAGTCCATCACCCTTGAAGTCGTAGATTTGAGGTTGTCAGTCCCTCAGCCTGTACTCGACTGAAGAAGCCTACTGTGTAGGCGAAACGTTTCAAAATAAAGATACCTTACTGTTGCATATGTGTCTTACCTAACAACTTGTCGGTATTTTATACCATTTCGATGTTCACTCTGTCAGACACTGCAACACATTGGTATCTTGGTACAGAACAAAACTACTTGGACAACTTCTAGTGAGAATGAATGGATTTGAGAGGGACCTGACCTCTCAGTGGCTACATTCTCACTTCTACTACTCTGCACCTCTCCTTCCAACAGTATTTAAGTCCCAACACTGTCGCTTGATCTTCAGTTAGTTCCAGACTTTGGAACAGAACTTCTCCAGGCCGAGGGACTGACAACCTCAAATCTACGACTTCAAGGGTGATGGACTGATTACATCATCTTCAAATCTCTACTGCTCCTGCCTACTTTCTGTACTCGACTGAAGAAGCCTACTGTGTAGGCAAAACATTTTGAAATAAAGATACCTAACTGTTGCATATGTGTCTTACCTAACAACATGTTGTAAGAGGTGACTAAAATGCTGGGAGCAAGAGCCTAGTAACCCCATCTCCTGTATATATTACAAAAGTTTAAAAGAGAAACTTTCATTTTTCTTTTTTGTGCCACCCTGCTTAGGTGGGATACAGCCAGTTTGTTGAAAAAATGTTTTGCACTTAAAACAGGTGCAAAATACTGTCTAGATTGTTGTTTATATGAATGTTAGACGAGGGTTTTATAATTTATCACTTCATATAGGTAATGAAATATAGTTAGGATATTATTATAATCCGGCTAACCGGTTTCCCTGAATCCCTTCATAGGAAGGGATTCAGGGGAAACCGATTAGCTGGACTTGAGTCCTGGAGGTCAGAAGTACAGTGCCTGCACTCTGAAGGAGGGGGGGTTGATATGTTGCAGTTTTTGAACTGCAACATAGGCATGCCTCTGGCAAGACAGTGATGGAGTGAATGGTGATGAAAGTGTTTCTTCTTTTTTGGGTCACCCTGCCTCAGTGGGAAATGGTAAATATGTTAATAAATTTATATAATTACTATAGTGAAACCCTTTAATTATGTGCAGTGCTTCAAACAAGACTTTGGGCCATCACTAATCATGCAATCAGTTATCCAGTTCCATCAGTAATCCGGTACTAATTTCAGCTAGCATAATATCAAATTTCATCATTATAGTTACTCAAGAAATTGTGCGGATGGTTGTAAATCCACAGCAGCAAGCCAGTGGAGGAAAAAGCAGTGATGAAAATGAGGAAGATGTAGCAGAAAGAGTCTATTGATAGGTTAATTAAGTGTATTCTAACCTAACCACTCTGTAATCCGACAAACTCACTAATCCAGCACACTACAGGTCCCAGTGATGCCGGATTAGTGATGACTGACCTGTAGTACCGTAGAGTTTGCATATTTATTAGAGGTTTTCCCTCATTGTGTAGGCTCACTTTATGCAAATTTGCCATTATGCAGTGTCCCATCTCTATTATTAGTAATTGTGTTTAAGTCCTGGGGGTAGAAGTACAGTACCTGCACTCTCAAGAGGAGGATGAGGATGTTGCAGTTCAGAGGGCCATCTCAACTGTGATGTCATTGCAATTCTGGCAAGACAACAATTGAATGAATGATGGTGAAAGAGTTTTCCTTCTTTTAGGGTCTGCTACCTCAATGGGAGATGACAAGTGTGTTTAAAAAATTTTTATTGGTTAACTAATATGAACCTATCATGAACATCTTACAATTTTGCAGATCTAGACTTACAAGATGGTGTAGCGGAGCTGGTGGAACGCCACTTTGCTCGACGCAGAACTATGTCAACCCTGCGTCGTGGTGCACCCCTGCAAACCTGCTATTCCTCCCCTGGACCAGGTGCAGATTACCCCGTGTCAATGCAGATTCTTCAAGCACTACAAGAAGCTGCTGAACCATGTTCTAGTCTTCCAGACATGAGAACCCAAGCTGATGCAACAGAGGAACCATCACACATGAGACCTCCTTCAGTTTTCTCAGATCCTGGTAGGAGTGTGGCTACTGAAGAACTGATCAAAGAAATAGAATTAGAAAGTATAGAGCCTGCTAGTTTGACTGACAACACTGAGAACAGCAGAAGTGAAGAGGAAGCACTTCTGGCATCCATTACTGAGGTGGATTCAAGTGCTCCAAATGCTGAGACTGAGGGGAAAGAGTAGATAAATCTTAAATTTCGTTAGAAACACAAGATAACTCATAGTATTGTACAGAAAAAGAAACTTCAGTGTTGTGTGTGTATACTCGCCTATATATATGCTAGCAGGGGTTGATTCGTAAGTCCTGGCATGTGCGCACACGTGTATGCATGTGGTGTGTGTGTGTGTGTGTGTGCACGTGCATGCGTGCTCACCTATTTGTGGTTTCAGGGACCACCTCTTTGCTAGTCGCTACTAGGTCTACTCCTTCCCTGCTCCAAGAGCCTTATCATACCTGCCTCCACTACTTCACTCTCCAGGTTGTTCCACTTCCTGACAACTCTAAAGCTGAAGAAATGCTTCCTAACAATCCTGTCTGACTTATCTGATTTTTTAACTTCCAGTTGTGTCTCCTTATTCTTTTGTTCCATCTCTGAAACATCCTTGCCCTGTCCACCTTGTCAATTCCTCTCCGTATTTTATACCTTGTTAGCATGTCTTTCCCTGTCCCTCCTATCTCCCAATGTCGTCAGGTTGAGTTCCCTTAACCTCTCCTCATAGGACATACCCTTTAGCTCCAGGACTAGTCTTGTTGCAAACTTTTACACTTTCTCCATTTTCTTGACTTGTTTGACCAGGTGTGGGTTCCATACTGGTGCTGCATACTCCAGTATGGGCCTGACATACGTGGTGTACAGTGCGTGAATGACTTCTTACTTGTATGTCAAAATGCTATTCTTAGGTTTACCAGACACCCATATGCTGCAGCGCTTATTTGGTTGATGTTCGCCTCAGGAGATGTGCTCAGTTTGTTATGATGCTCACACCAAGATCCTTTTCCTTGAGTGAGGTTTGCAGCCTCTGATGATCCCTAGATTGTACCCCACCTCTGGTCTTCTTTGTCCTTCCCAGGCTTCATGACTTTGCACTTGGTGGGTTTAAATTCTAGGAGCCATTTACCAGACAAGGCTTGCAACCTGTCCAGATCCCCTTGCAATCTTACCTGAGCCTTGTCCACTTACATTCCTCTCCTCATTAGTTCCATATTATCTGCAAGCAGGGACACCTAGTTGTGGTTGCAGGGGTTGAGTCACAGCTCCTGGCCCTGCCTCTTCACTGGTCATTACTAGATCACACTTCCTGCTCCACAAGCATTATCATGCCTCTTCTTAAGGCTATGTATGGATCCTGACTCCACTACATCATTTCCCCAGACTATTCCACTTCCTGACAACTCTGTGACTGAAGAAATACATACTTCTAACATCCCTGTGATTCATCTGAGTCTTCAACTTCCAACTGTGATTCCTTGTTGCTGTCTCCCGTCTTTGGAACGTCTTGTCTCTGTCCACCTTGCCAATTCCTCTCACTATTGTATATGTCATTATCATATCCTCCCTTTCTCTCCTCTCCTTCAGTGTAGTCAAGTCGACTTTTTTTTTTTTTTTTGTTGTGTGTGTGTGTGTGTGTGTTTTCACCCATTTATGGTTGCAGGGGATAAGTCACAGCTCCTGGCCCTGCCTCTTCATTGATCATTGCTAGGTCCACTTTCCCTGCTGTTTGTGTCACTTTATGTAAATCGTCGTCTTTCAAGAAATCAGGCCGTTTCCCACCTAGGCAGAGTGGCCCAAAAAGAAAACAAAAGTTTCTTTTTTTTAACTTTAGTAATGTATACAGGAGAAGGGGTTACTAGCCCCTTGCTCCTGGCTTGTTAGTTGCCTCTTATGACATGCATGGCTTACGGGGGAAGAATTTTGTTCCACTTCTGTAGTACTTTTTAACACTTGTACAGTGGACCCCCGACTTGCAATATTAATTCGTTCCAGAAGGCTGTTCGGGTGCCATTACCAAACGACTTTGCTCCCATAAGAAATATTGTAAATTAGATTAGTCCGTTTCAGACTCCCAAAAATACACTTACAAAAGCACTTACAAAAATACACTTACATAATTGTTTGACTTGAGAGCTGATCATAAGTTGGGGTGTGAAGGCTTACTCATTACTCAGCCCTGTAACAACTTCAGACAGTATTACCAAGGCTGGCTCCTACTCAGGAAAATTAATGAATAGAAAAAGAAATAATAATTCACAAAGATAAACACTTTATTATTTATTAATGGAAAGATAAAACATTGAAATATGAAGGTGTATCTTACTTGAAAGAAAAATGAAATGGAAAAATGACATTTGAATTCAATGCTAATATGTACAGTTATACTGGGGTGTCTGGTTGAGGTTGACACTGTCTTGTAGAAATTGTAGCCGTTGCTGATGCTGTGGGGGGGGGTGTCACAGGTGTTGAGTGACAACCCAACGACTAGTTCTTCACAGAGTCTATAGCCTTGAATAGTTAGTCCAAATGACAGGAACGCAGGTTCTTTACCACTGCAAAGATGAGGGGTAGTGTCCTGTACAATTAATCAGGTAGGTAGATCATGAAGTGACGTCCCAGGACCGGTTTCAGTCTGTCTCCTTCAACACTTCTCGTTGGTTGGCAGGTGACCCGATGTGTCATTCCAAGCTGGAAAGAGAGACAGGTTACCCACTGCTTAATAAATCACTCTCCATGATAAGTGTAAGATACTTAAAAAAAGGTGGTGATTATCTAAAAGTCTCATGTGGAGCTTAAAACTGAAAGGGCTAAGTTTATTATTGGTCAAAAGTGAAGCTTTCAACCAATATCCACTAGAATAGGAGCAGAGGCTTTTACTTACAGTTGTGCTGTGAGTTGAGTGATTACTGTTTGGCCGGAGCCCCACACGTCACCTTTTGGGGTGGGGAGAAAGGGGGGGAGGGGATAGCGGGAGCTAGACTGACCCTACCTTAACAAGCAGCCGGCAGTCGTTACCATATACTCGCTCGACTACTCCTATCTGTTGAACTTTTCCCTCACACGGGGGTCCACTGTATAACTTTTATATTACTTGAAATATACTGTAATATTGTAACTTAATTTTTACATATCAAAAAAATTTGGATAAATAAGATGATTTTATATACATGACACACACTTTCAAGGCAAAGTATGACTCTAAATGTAGAATATTTCTCATACATATTATCTGTATACACTACTAATCTTTTTTCTACAATTACTTCTTCTTTCTTTCAACACACCAGCCGTATCCCACCGAGGCAGGGTGGCCCAAAAAGAAAAACGAAAGTTTCTCCTTTCAAATTTAGTAATATATACAGGAGAAGGGGTTACTAGCCCACTTGCTCCCGGCATTTCAGTCGCCTCTTACGACATGCATGGCTTATGGAGGAAGAATTCTGTTCCACTTCCCCGTGGAGATAAGAGGAAATAAACAAGAACAAGAACTAGAAAGAAAATAGCAGAAAACCCAGAGGGGTGTGTATATATATGCTTGTACATGTATGTGTAGTGTGACCTAAGTGTAAGTAGAAGTAGCAAAACGTACCTGAAATCTTGCATGTTTATGAGACAGACAAAAGACACCAGCAATCCTACCATCATGTAAAACAATTACAGGCTTTCGTTTTACATTCACTTGGCAGAACGGTAGTACCTCCCTGGGCGGTTGCTGTCTACCAACCTACTACCTAGGTTATACAATTACATATATTTATATTGCATCTTTGCTCAGATTGTGTGTGTGTATGTGTATGCACATATGTATATATATTTTTTTCAACACATCGGCCATCTCCCACCAAGGCAGAAGAGGAAGAAACACTTCATCATTCAACACTTTCACCATCAATCACACATAATCACTGTCTTTGCAGAGGCACCCAGACATGACAGTTCAGATGTCACTCCAAATAGCCAATATCCCAAACCTCTCCTTTAAAGTGTAGGCACTGCACTTTAAAGAAGAAAGTTTAGGATATTGGCTCAGTCCAGCTAACTGGTTTTCCTGAATCCCATAACAAAATATTACCCTGCTCACACTCCAGAAGCTTGTCAAGTACCAAAAACCATTTGTCTCCATTCACTCCTATCTAACATGCTTACACATGCCCCTTGCACACAAAACCTCTTTTACCCCTTTCCTGCATTCTTTCCTATGACAACCCCAACCCCTACCCCTACCCCTACCCTTCCCTCTACAGATTTATACACCCTCCAAGTCATTCTATTTTTCACCATCCTCTCTATATGACCAGATCACCTCAATAACCCCTTTTCCGCCTTCTTGAATAATACTTTTTGTAACTCTGCATTGCCTCCTAATTTCCACACTACGAATTCTCTGCATAATATTTACACCACACAATTGCCTTTAGACACGACATCTCCACTGGCTCCAGCCTCCTCCTCACTGAAGCATTTACAACCCATGCTTCACACCTGTGGGTTTAGCGCTTCTTTTTGATTATAATAATAAAAATAATAATTCACACCTGTGAAAATGTGTGTGGTCTTCCTTCTTGTGAGGTGCTCACCTTAGCCAGTACTATTGACACAGACCATGAGATTAGTCATTTCAGTCTCACAAGTGGCTTTTAGAACACATTTCCATATGTAAATTTACCTTGCAAGAAATTCCTGTCTACATGCACAAAAGAGTGACTTACTTGGAGATGGAGAATATGCTACTAGAAATCCCCTGATTCTACCCAAGCAAACCTAGATACCTCTGGTCCCCCTCTGCATGTGCAGTGAAGGACTTATTCCTGCAAGTATTCAGATGGTATTAGTATCCCCAGCCTGCACCTTAAGGATCCCTGAATTCAATAGGTATTTCCTAATAAATATTAAGCAGTCAGTGAGACACTAGCTTCTGAACTAATACTGAAGGGGAGTTGCCCTGCAATCTAAATTACTGGATCATGGGGCATTCGCCCACTTATAACCACAGTTCAAATAACTCGCATTTCTCAGAATACTGCTGGCCAACCATACTAAAAGAAATGAAAGGTATTGTCTTACTACGGGGCCTGGGTAGAGACGAAATTCTACAGTACTTTGGGATGCCTCTAGGTGAAGTCCAGGCTGGTATTTTGAAGACACGTGGGGCTCTGAGCTGTAGCTACCACCTTTCTATGTACATGTAGCATCTCACTTTTCCCTACCCCCCTGGGAAGTTCCAGCTGTTCGAGTCTGTTCTTTCTCTCTCTTGCTCGAAAGCCCAACTGTCTACGGTCGCTTCCCGCTCTCTTTTTCTTGACCACTTTCACTCTCATTCTCATGCCATTGCTGTGTACACAGATGGCTCTAGGTCTTCTGACGGCGTAGGATTCACAGCAGTGTTTCTGGACAGCATCGTACAAGGGCATTTACTATCTTCGGCTAGTATTTTTACTGCTGAATTGTATGCCATCCTTACAGCACTTATCCGTATTGCATCTATGCCTGTGTCATCATTTGTAGTTGTCTCAGACTCCCTTAGTGCTTTACAGGCTATACAGAAATTTGATACACCTCATCCCTTAGTCCTCCGTATCCAACTTTGGCTACGCCGCATCTTTACCAAGCATAAAGATATTGTTTTTTGTTGGGTCCCTGGTCATGTTGACGTACAGGGCAATGAACAGGCAGACACTGCTGCGCGGTCAGCAGTACATGACCTACCAGTTTCATGTAGAGATATTCCATTTACGGACTATTTTGCTGCAATATCTGCCCAACTTCACACCCGTTGGCAACAACGTTGGTCTACTATGCTCGGCAATAAACTTCAATCTATTAAACCGAGTATAGGTTACTGGCCGTCTTCTTATCACCAGTGTCGAGGTTGGGAGACTACTCTCTCCCGTCTTCGCATTGACCATACTCGTCTTACTCATGGATATCTCATGGAGAGGCGCCCTGCTCCTCTCTGTGAGAATTGCCAAGTTCCATTATCAGTCAGCCACATTCTGTTGGACTGCCCACTTTATCAACGAGCACGCAGAATTTACCTCCGTCGTCGTCTTCGCTCTGCTGCTCTCTCTTTACCTTCCCTTCTCGCTGATGGACCCACCTTTCATCCAGACTCTCTCATTGACTTTTTGACAACAACTGACTTACTTCACAAATTCTGATACCTTCAGCCCTTTCTACTTCAATCTCTTGCTACCCTCTACCCCCGTACTATCCCCTGCCCCGCTGTTTTCTGTAACCTACTGATCATCCCTCCTCCCTTCTGCCATCCAATACCCTCGCTTCCTTCCCTACCCTGCAGCGCTGTATAGCCCTTGTGGCTTAGCGCTTCTTTTTGATTATAATAATAATCTGAGCTGTAGCTCTCGCGACCCTTTTGTCACCAGGGTGTCTTGTCCTAGAAGGGCGAGCTAGCATCTGTTCAATCCTGTCTTGCCTCCATTCAAGCATGGGGTTGCTAGGCTTCGCAATTCATCTAGTCTTCTTACTTGATACAACCTAATACTAACCTTCATTAAGGTTTAAGGCTACCTATATTAAGATCTAAGGATACCTTATTAATTCTAATATTAGTTACTAACAGTTTATACCTTCCTGAAACCTCAAAGTGTAAATTTACCAAATAGTATGTGTAAACTCTCCATCTCCACCATTTGTTTGTTAGGGTGGATGCTAAGGGCTCTTAAAGCTTATTTACAAGTGGATCCAGTCAGTGGAATTTTTTGGACTAAATATGTTTCCACAACACCCATATAATAGTGTTGGTACCACTGTACTCATACATTCCTTTCTTTCCCTCCATGGATAATATTCAGACACTTCAGTGCACCACTCACGTTTTTTCTTTCATCAGTTCTATGGTTAACCTCGTCCTTCATAAACCCATCTGCTGACAAATCTACTCCCAAATATCTGAACACATTCATTTCTTCCACACTCCCTCCCTCCAGTGTAATATCCAATTTTTCTTTACCTAACTCATTTGATAACCCTCATCACCTTACTTTTATCTATGTTCACCTTCAACTTTCTTTACACACCCTCCCAAACTTTTCCACTAATTTTTGCAACTTCTCTTTAGAATCTCCCAAAAGCACAGTATCATCAGCAAAAAAAGTAACTGTCAACTCCCATTTTGTACGTACATGTTTGATTCCCCATAATTTAACCCCCCCCCCTCCCCAACACCCTAACATTTGCTTTTTACAGCTCCATCTATAAATATGTTAAACAAGTGTGTGTTGTGTGTGTGTGTGTGTGTGTGTGTGTGTGTGTGTGTGTGTGTGTGTGTGTGTGTGTGTGTGATGTGTGTGTTATATATATATATATATATATAATATATATATATATATATATATATATATATATATATATATATATAATGTAGATGTGTGCATGTGTGTGTGTCATGCCAAATTGGTAAAACTGATCAATTAGCAAGAACTCGTTTAAAATTAAGTCCTTTCTAAAATTTTCTCTTATGCAGTGGACCCCTGGTTAACGATATTTTTTCACTCCAGAAGTATGTTCAGGTGCCAGTACTGACCGAATTTGTTCCCATAAGGAATATTGTGAAGTAGATTAGTCCATTTCAGACCCCCAAACATACACGTACAAACGCACTTACATAAATACACTTACATAATTGGTCGCATTCGGAGGTGATCGTTATGCGGGGGTCCACTGTACATTTAAAAATATTTTTTCATCTACGTATATTAATGTAAAAATTAATAAATTTGTACCAAAAGAACTTTAGACAACTTACCTAACCTTATTATAACAAGTGCAATTTAATTTAGCCTAATCCAACTACAGTAGGGCCCTGCTTTATTGCATTTCGCCTTACGGCATTCCACTAATACAGCGATTTCAAATTATGGCCAAAACTCGCAATATGGCTCCCTCTCTAATACAGCATGCACCACCCGGTTTGTTTACATTCTCCGTGACCACCGCGTCTCTTCATCATGTTTGGAAACTTTCCAAAATTTCAAGTGTTTTAAAGTTAATCCATATTTTATATATACAGCCTCTCCTCACTTAACGACGGAGTTCTGTTCTAAGACCACGTCGCTAAACGAATTCATCGCTAAGTGAGGCACATACTATAATGGTAGTCGGTTTGTGTCAACCATCTTTGATATTGTTTTAATGTCACCTTTGCACCATTTATAACATTTCTGGTATATTTTTAAATGTTTATACAGTAGTGTACTGCATATTGAAATATGTAAACAGAATACTAGAGGAAATCAACTCTAATATACATTATTTAGATATAAATATTGGTCAGAGTCCGTCGTAAGTCCAAGGCGTTGGTAAACGAGTACGTCGCTAAGTGAGGAGAGGCTGTACTCTCATAGTTATACAGTGGACCCTCGACTAACGCTATTAATCCGTTCCCGAGAGCTCATCGTTAGTCAAAATTATCGTTAGTCAAGTTAATTTTCCCCATAAGAAATAATGGAAATCAAATTAATCCATGCAGGACACCCCAAAGTATGAAAAAAAAATTGTTTTTACCACATGAAATATTAATTTAATGCACACAAACTGAAGAAGACATGCACAGTTACATGACACTTACCTTTATTGAAGATCTGGTGATGATTGATGGGATGGGAGGAGGGGAGAGTGTTGATGGTCTTAGTGTTTAGAAGAGGAATCCCCTTCCATTAGGACTTGAGGTGGCAAGTCCTTTTCCGGGGTTACTTCCCTTCTTTTTTTAATGCCACTAGGACCAGCTTGAGTCACTGGACCTCTGTCACACAACATATCTGTCTATAGAGGCCTGTACCTCCCGTTCCTTTGTGACATTTCTAAAGTGTTTCACAACATTGTCAGTGTACAGGTTGCCAACACGGCTTGCAGTAGCTGTGTCAGGGTTGGCACTAGAAGCTTTCTTGGGGCCCATGGTGACTTATTTTGCAGGTGCAATCACTACAAACGCTGTGATAATATGAAATGTTCTGATTGTATGTTTGGATGGGACCATGGTGGCTGGCTGGCTTGTAAACACTGGCACCCATGGGACAAGTGAGGTGCGCTCAGGCCAAAGTGGACGCGTCTCGAACGGAACGAATAGCGTTGGTCGGGTTTTTTAGCGCTAGTCGAGGCAAAATTTTTGCATTAAAATGTATCGCTAGTCGGATTTAACGTTAGATGATGCCAACGTTGGTCGAGGGTCCACTGTACGTACTTACGTGCACCTGTACCTAAGTAAACTTACACTTTGTGCTGGCATGCAGGTACACATTAAAATCACTAAGAGTGTCTTATTAGCCTTGAAGATACCATATTAATAATGATATTAATAAAATATGGAAAGCATATAAATCTGTAGGGGAAGGAAAGCGGGGTAGGGGCTGTCCTCAAAAAGGTTGGAGGGAGGGGGTAAAGGAGGTTTTGTAGGCGAGGGGCTTGGACTTCCAGCAAGCGTGCGTGAGCATGTTAGATAGGAGTGAATGGATACGAATAGTTTTGGGGACCTGACGAGCTGTTGGAGTGTGAGGAGGATAATATTTAGTAAAGAGATTCAAGGAAACCGGTTATTTTTATATAGCCGGACTTGAGTACCGGAAATGGGAAGTACAATGCCTGCACTTTAAAGGAGAGGTTTGGGATATTGGCAGTTTGGAGGGGTATGTTATATATCTTTATATATGCTTCTAAACTGTTGTATCTGGGCACTTCTGCAAAAACAGTGATTATGTATGAGTGAGTTGAAAGTGTTGAATGATGATGAAAATATTTTCTTTTTTGGGATTTTTTTCTTTCTTTTTGGGTCACCCTGCCTTGGTGGAAGATGGCAGACTTGTTGAAAAAAAAAGTAATAAGTGTACACTATATACATTTTATCGCTCTAGGGCTCTTTAAATGTTGAAGTATATTATGTGTGGCTGGGGTGGGGTGGCCTGGCTGGCTACCATACCTAACTTCTTACAATAAACACTACTCACTTCTCACCCTCCATTAAGACTACAAATATTTTGAGGTAAGTAATCCGTGTACTGTGTGTGTATTTTACTTTTTTTGTTTTTTAATGCCTTGTTCTATTGTCAGTTTAACCCTTTCAGGGTTTCTGACGTACTAGTACGGCTTACGCACCAGGGTTTTTGATGTACACGTACTAGTACGCGTAAATTCTAGCGCCTTCAGATCTAGCAAGAGAAAGCTGGTAGGCCTACATATGAAAGAATGGGTCTATGAGGTCAGTGTGCACAGTATAAAAGAAAATCCTGCAGCACAGTGAGTTTTTGGTTTAAAAGAGCGACTTTACACTGTATTTTCGTATGGTATTTATGGTTGTATTCTAGTTTTCCTGGTCTCATTTTATAGAATTGAAAACATTCTTCTTTCTTTCAACACACCGGCCATATCCCACCAAGGCAGGGTGGCCCAAAAAGAAAAACGAAAGTTTCTCTTAAATTTAGTAATTTATACGGGAGAAGGGGTTACTAGCCCCTTGCTCCCAGCATTTTAGTCGCCTCTTACAACACGCATGGCTTACGGAGGAAGAATTCTGTTCCACTTCCCCATGGAGATAAGAGGAAATAAACAAGAACTAGAAAGAAAATAGAAGAATACCTAGAGGGGTGTGTATATATATGCTTGTACATGTATGTGTAGTGTGACCTAAGTGTAAGTAGAAGTAACAAGACATACCTGAAATCTTGCATGTTTATGAGACACAAAAGACACCAGCAATCCTACCATCATGTAAAACAATTACAGGTTTTCGTTGTACACTCACTTGGTAGGACGGTAGTACCTCCTTGGGCGGTTGCTGTTTACCAACCTACTACCTAGGTAATTACAGAAATTCACATGATTTTGATTGGTTTCACAATAAAACGTACCTTGAAATTGAGATCAAAGTAGCAGAAATGTTCGATTTTTGCCAAAGTTCAAAAGTAAACAAATCATGCCACATGTCCAATACACATCAACTGGTGAGTCTAATAATATTTCACAAGTGTGCTGATATTATTTATACCATTCTACATTTCTACAGTAGTCTGCATAACAGTAAATCTTCTAATTTTTTGTGAGAATAAAAATTCAGAGTGGAAAGCAAAAGAAATGTAAGAGGGGCCTGGGGACGTGACTAATGAACAGAGGAAATGATATTTTAGTTCCAGGAATGTCTGTCTTGTTTATTCTGGATCCTATTTGGAAATTGGCATCTTTTGAAATTTGTGTGAAATTGGCAAAATTGCTAAATTCTGACCACTTTACTGGATAGTTGAAATCAGTAAATGGGTGATTTCTTGTACTCATTCAATAGAAAAAATGGAGTGTTAGCAAAATAGTTATGATTTTTGTTAACTAGTATACTGCAATTGGCCAAAAATAGGGCTCAAAGTGGGCGAAATCGCTGATGCGTAAACATCGTCGAGACTGCTAACTTTGTGAGAGCATAATTCCGTAAGTTTTCCATCAAATTTCATACTTTTGGTGTCATTATGATCAGGAAAAGATTCTCTGTTTTTTCATGAGAAAAAAAATAATTTTTTTTTTTTTCCAAAAAAATTTTTGCCCAAGAAAGAGGGGGGCTTTTAAAGGGAAAAAAGGCGTTTTTATTTTATTGGAAAAAAATGGTTTTTGTTTGCGCTTCCCTTTTCACGTAGGGGAAAAACCCTTAAAAAGGGGCCCCTAGTTTTTTTGAAAAGTTACAAAATTTTAAAAATAAAAAACAAAATATAATTTTTTTTACAAATTTTTTTTTTTAATATACATTTTTACTCTTTTTAAAATTTTTTTTAAAAAAAATTTTAACCCCTCATTATAGGGGTTTTTATAAATTTTTCCCCCAGGTTACTTAAATTTGGAAGAGGGTTCCCAAAAATTTACATTAAATTTTAAGGCTTTTTTTCACTTGTTTTTTTAA